CTCACCCCCACTGGAATGAGAGGAACTGGGGAAACAAACGAGGCATGTTTGAGGGGAGAGGGAGGGGCGTTGGGGAATTACTAGTGAAATTTGATAGAGTTTGAGGACTGGGAATACTGAGGGAAAAGGGGAAACTTTGCAGGGATGAGAAACAGTGAGAAAGATGGGTAGAGTAAGGAAGAGTAGGGAAATAGTGTGTGTGGAATGGGAAAGAGTGTGGGGGGGGGGATGGGAAAAGGTGTGTTGGGAATATTGCTGGGAAGAACATTTATAGGAAAGTAGAATTAATGGTGAGATGGTGGATATACATGATGATATGGTCAGGAGAGGACAGGTATAGAGACGTAGGGAGAGAACTGAGAGAAGGAAGAGAGAGAACTGAGAGAAGGAAGGGAGAGAACTGAGAGAAGGAAGAGAGAGAACTGAGAGAAGGGAAAGAACGGATGTTTTAGGAAAGTGGGAAAACGAGAGAGGAACATAAACTGTTGCATAGTGATGCTAGGAGACAGAGAGAGGAGAGGAGAGATTGCTGAAATAGAGGGAATACAGAGAACACACACACACACACACACACACACACACACACACACACACACACACAAACCTCAAGGCACCTAAACTGCGATCGTCTGAAAGCTCTCATAATGTATTCTCTAGAAAGGAGACGAGAGAGAGAGAGAGAGAGAGAGAGAGAGAGAGAGAGAGAGAGAGTATTGATGGACCAGGAACCCAATTTACACAGCAAAACAACATACTGGAGTGAATGATATGGAATGAACTAAAGAAAACGAGGCAATAAAGTAGATCTTCAATTTCTGTTTCCTATTACTTTCTTTTCTTCTATTCGGTTTCCACCTCTCCCTTTACTCTCGTCTTCCATTACTTTCACCCATTACTTTCGCCAGTTACTTCCCTCCAGTTAACTTCCCTACCAATTTCCAATCTTTTAACCAGTTCTCGCTACACCGTTTACCTCTCCCGTCTCTCTTCTTTATCCTTTCTTCTCTCTAACCCTTCTTCACCCTCTCTTCCTTCTACCACCATCTTCAAGGACCCTTAAATCAGTCACAGTGGTTTATCCTTCACAGCCTGGCTTGTACCTGGATGGAATTCTGTGAGTTGCACTCCCCAAGCCCGGCTCGGGCGCCAGGCTTCTCTTTTGAACGCTTGGTCCAACAGGCTGTTGGATGGAGCGGTCCGCAGGCCCACCACAGTCGGGTTGGTCCGGCACCTCTTGCGGAAAAGCTTCCAGTTTTGTTTTATAGAAGGCTTTCCCTTTTGTTCCTGCAATATTACGTATAGTTGCTAGGAGGTTATTGAATAGCCGTTGGCCTCGGAGGGTCATAGTGTGTTGTTCTGTGATTGTGCCAGTGGCATCTAGTTTAGTGCCTCGTTTTCTTTAGTTCATTTCATATCATTCACTCCAGTATGATGTTTTGCTGTGTAAATGGGTACCTGGACCATTAATACTGTCCATGTATATGTTATTTATTCTCTCTCTCTCTCTCTCTCTCTCTCTCTCTCTCTCTCTCTCTCTCTCTCTCTCTCTCTCTCTCTCGAAAAAACAGGAGCAGATATAAAAAATGTTTTCCAGAATAGCACGTGTAAACAGGATCAGGACAGTGGTATGCTATAAACAGGCGCATATCAGAACAGCCTTCACGAACATCAATGAAAAGGCTTACAGAATACTGAACAACACCTACGTGAGAACTTACCAAGAGTATGCAGCCTCAGCATCGATCCCAACCACAGAAAGGCAATCATAAGATGTGAAGAGTCTTGAAGGGTTTCCAACGAAGCTCCTACCAGAAATACCTAACCTAACCTAACCTAACCTAACCTAACCTAACCTAACCTAACCTAACCTAACCTAACCTAACCTACCAGAAATACATAGAGGATGGCGTACGAAAAAAACAAATAAAACAAAAGCTGAATATATCTACGCATGAGGAGACATGAGGGAAAGCAGACATAATAGATAAAATAAACATGAGAATTTGCAGTGAGAAAGTTATGAAAATGAATACGAACAAGATGATATGGAGGCGATGAGTCACAATAACGTGGCTAAAGTATGATGACCAGATCACACACTAGAAGGTGAAGGGACGACGACGTTTCGGTCCGTCCTGGACCATTCTCCAGTCGATTGTGAATCGACTTTCTCACAATCGACTTGAGAATGGTCCAGGACGGACCGAAACGTCGTCGTCCCTTCACCTTCTAGTGTGTGGTCTGGTCATCAAGATGATAGGTGCCAGCCATAGACACGTGATAAAGTACACATTTGAAAGTAGTAGAATGGCTTCAACTAGACCAAACGCACCAGAAGCCAACACTTATGCACTGTTTTAAACATTGATACGAGGGATTGATGTCTGAAGTCACTGACGATCAGGTTAGAAAAAAGTGGTGACCTGGAACACGAATCTTAAGGTAAGTCACAACATATTGTCCTAATTCCACACTAGCATTGCATTAAACGACACCCCCCCCCTGCTGGAAAGGCGAGTGGCGGGGGTCCAAGAGCTCAGGTTCGATCCCGCAACGCCTAAATAAACGAGGGGAGATGCCCAATCAACAAATCACACGTACACCTGTCCTTCCCAAGTTTACGCCCCCTGGCACCTGTTAATCCTTGGCACCTGTTAATCCTTGGCACCTGTTAATCCCTGGCACCTGTTAATCCTTGGCACTTGGGGCACCTGTGGCTCGCTAACGAGGTCACCACCTCTCGCCCTCCTGAACCCGCCTATCAAGCTAGTTATAGTGAAGGTGCTGCCGGGTTAACGAGGTCGGAACATCGGTCTGGCCGCAGGATGGCAATCGATGCCTTGAGGTGCAAATCATAGAGGTAATCGGCGTGTTTGTCAACCACTGCTGATGAGTTCTAATTACACGAGGAAGGGGGAGGATTCTGTTGTGGGGTGGGGGGGGGGGGAAGGTATATTTGGGCACTGAGGAAGGAGTATATCTAGAAGGAGTATATCAGCTATACTCCCCAGGCAAAATTATCCCCCACTGAAAATTATGTCAAATAAAATTTACTTTTCACATGAAAAAAGAGGAAATGTTGAAAGATCTTTTATATGCAAACCTTCCGAACTGGGGCATGAAACGACTTATACGCCTCTGACTGGATTATATAGAGCTACGGAAGCATATTCCACCCTATATATTCAACCCAAAGAGCTGTTAGTCGGGCTCTATTGTATGATCCACAGGGCTGTTGTAGCCTGTATGATACACATACATTTTAGCTGTAGCCAATATATATATAACACAAATGCACCTTTCTCGACTCGCCTCTTTTCAATTCACACACAAATTGTATTTAAGGACTTACACTGGGAAGGTTTTTACGAGAATAACAGAGAAAAACATTGATTGAAATATCGATTTCAACCGGATATTAAAATCAAGCATATTATAGTACTTCGTGAGGCATAATTACAGAGGTCAGCCTAGCAGGGAGTGACTTCAGAGGTCACCCTAGTAGGGAGAGACTTCAGAGGTCACCCTAGTAGGGAGAGACTTCAGAGGTGAGCCTAGCAGGGAGTGACTTCAGAGGTCACCCTAGCAGGGAGTGACTTCAGAGGTCACCCTAGTAGGGAGTGACTTCAGAGGTCACCCTAGCAGGGAGAGACTTCAGAGGTCAGCCTAGAAGGCAGTGACTTCAGAGGTCATCCTAGCAGGGATTGACTTCAGAGGTCACCCTAGAAGGCAGTGACTTCAGAGGTCATCCTAGCAGGGAGTGACTTCAGAGGTCATCCTAGCAGGGAGTGACTTCAGAGGTCACCCTAGTAGGGATTGACTTCAGAGGTCACTCTAGAAGGCAGTGACTTCAGAGGTCACCCTAGCAGGGAGAGACTTCAGAGGTCACTCTAGCAGGGAGTGACTTCAGAAGTCAACCTAGAAGGATAGACGGGAATAGAGGCGTGGGGAGGTAGGAGGGAGGGGGAAATGGAAGGAACAGAAATTGAGGAAAGGGGAAGGAGATGAGTATGGAATGGGTAAGAGTAGAATGGGATGGAAAACACACACACACACAGACAGAGAGAGAGAGAGAGCGACAGAGAGAGAGAGAGACAGACAGAGAGACAGAGAGAGACAGAGAGCGCTGGAGTACAATTAAGTTGACACACGGCTTGACTGAGCAATATATCTCAGGCTGCGAACAATGTTTCGTCTTGACCGTCCTCAGGCAAGGGGCAAGATCAGCATCCAGCCCTCCTCCTGGGATTGGGCGGGGGGGAAGGATTAGGAGGAGGATTAGGAAGAGATTGTGATGTGATAGTCGACATCATGGTGATTAGCTGATCAGTAAGCCAGATAAACCCCCCAGGAAGCAGCCCGTAGCAGCTGTCTAACTCCCAGGTACCTATTTACTGCTAGGTGAACAGGAGCATCAGGGTGACAGACACTTTGGCTATTTGTTTCCGCCTCCACCGGGGATCGAACCCGGAACCTCAGGACTACGAATCCCGAGCGCTGTCTCCTCAGTGGCCCCGGTGGCACTCCAGGTGTATCATAGTGGCCCCCGGTGGCACTCCAGGTGTATCATAGTGGCCCTGGTGGCACTCCAGGTGTATCATAGTGGCCCCCGGTGGCACTCCAGGTGTATCATAGTGGCCCTGGTGGCACTCCAGGTGTATCATAGTGGCCCCCGGTGGCACTCCAGGTGTATCATAGTGGCCCCGGTGGCACTCCAGGTATATCATAGTGGCCCGGTGGCACTCCAGGTGTATCATAGTGGCCCCGGTGGCACTCCAGGTGTACCATAGTAGCCCCAGTGGCACTCCAGGTGTATCATAGTGGCCCCCGGTGGCACTCCAGAATATCATAGTGGCCTGGTGGCACTCCAGGTGTATCATAGTGACCTGGTGGCACTCCAGGTGTATCATAGTGGCCCCCGGTGGCACTCCAGGTGTATCATAGTGGCCCCCGGTGGCACTCCAGAATATTAGGTGGCGTTACCCTCTGGGTCCCTGGAGATGTCCCAGACTAAAGCAGACCTACACCACCACAGACCTGCACCACCGCAGACCTGCACCACCGCAGACCTGCACCACCGCAGACCTGCACCACCGCAGACCTACACCACCGCAGACCTGCACCACCGCAGACCTACACCACCGCAGACCTACACCACCGCAGACCTGCACCACCGCAGACCTGCACCACCGCAGACCTGCACCACCGCAGACCTGCACCACCACAGACCTGCAGCACCGCAGACCTACACCACCGCAGACCTGCACCACCGCAGACCTACACCACCGCAGACCTGCACCACCGCAGACCTGCAGCACCGCAGACCTACACCACCGCAGACCTGCACCACGACAGACCTGCAGCACCGCAGACCTACACCACCGCAGACCTGCACCACCGCAGACCTACACCACCGCAGACCTGCACCACCGCAGACCTGCACCACCGCAGACCTACACCACCGCAGACCTGCACCACCGCAGACCTGCACCACCGCAGACCTGCACCACCGCAGACCTACACCACCGCAGACCTGCACCACCGCAGACCTGCAGCACCGCAGACCTGCACCACCGCAGACCTGCACCACCGCAGACCTGCACCACCGCAGACCTACACCACCGCAGACCTGCACCACCGCAGACCTGCACCACCGCAGACCTGCACCACTGCAGACCTACACCACCGCAGACTTACACCACCGGCCTCGTAGCCTGGTGGATAGCGCGCAGGACTCGTAATTCTGTGGCGCGGGTTCGATTCCCGCACGAGGCAGAAACAAATGGGTAAAGTTTCTTTCACCCTGAATGCCCCTGTTACCTAGCAGTAAATAGGTACCTGGGTGTTAGTCAGCTGTCACGGGCTGCTTCCTGGGGGTGGAGGCGCCTGGTCGAGGACCGGGCCGCGGGGACACTAAAGCCCCGAAATCATCTCAAGATAACCTCAAGATAACCGCAGACCTGCACCACGGCAGATAATGAATGTCTGCTGCAACAAGGCTTGCGACAGACTCTCAAATGACTGTTCTCTAACCATCCCATCCTCCGAAGGATCCCCAACGTCAAGAAAACTATCGTACTAAAGTGCCCCCTTATCCTAACCTACCAGAGGACCCAAAACAGAAAACGGGTCAGTATATCAGTTCCGCGAGTCGCTTCCATTTTCTAGTACGATGATTTTTGGTCTTAGGGGGAAAGTATGCGTCAAAA